ACGCGAGGCTCACATGCCACACCTACACAGCCGCCTTATACACATCTAGATGTGTATAAGAGACAGGGATCCGCGACTCCAGAGAGAGAGAGAGAGAGAGAGAGAGAGAAAAAAAAATAACTCACACACATACCTACAAAAGTTTTTCGCTGATGAAGAAACGAACCTGATGAGGCAGGGGGGCAAAATTTTGCTACGAACACCTATCTGTTTTTTTTTTTTTTTGATTTTCAGAAAACAGGTAGATGTCATGTTCACTACACACATGGTTAAGCAGGGGTGTTATTTTCGACGAATTTTGCACCGAATTGCACTGAAACTGTTATATTGTGGTGATTTTTTTCTTTTTTTTCTTGTTTTTTCTTTTTGTGTGATAGATATGTGCTTTAGGGTACGTCTTGTGTGCAGTTTTGACATGTTTGGATCAATAATGAAAAAGTTGGCATTTTTTTGAATTCGTTGGACGCTTTATTTTGACTCGGACAATGTTTTTGTGTCAGGGTTTTATAATGTTTTTTTGTTTTTTTTTTCGTTTTTTTTCGCCTGTTTCCTTTTTTGATGTTTGCGCTATGGTCTCATATCGTTTGTTTTTAAAATTTTTGATGAAATTCGAAACGCAATTTCCAACGAAAACGGCGAATATTTGGGCCCCCGTTAACCGTCTCCCGTTCACTATACACAACTAAAAAAAAAAACCATGATTGTGCCTGACTGGTTCACTGAATCATCAAGAAGTTTAATGTGTACGTGTGTGCGTGTATATGTGTGCGCATATGCAAAGAAAGATATGTCATGTGTTGTCATCACGAGCAAACATCCAAGAAAACGTGCACAATAAAAGTTTCTTTCCCTAAACAGGATGCAGGGTCATTACAACTTCTTTTTTTTTCAATTTTTTTTTATATGCATGTCATACTTGCAAGGGGCCATGCTAATCTTCTTTGTATTGCTCTAATTTTAACGGATGTCCCGAAGGATTCAGTGTCGTTCATTCTACATATAGTGATAATGACTGTATAATGTCATGTTGGGGCGAACAGGGTAGCAGGTATTCGACCGAAAATCCGACCACGTTCAACTGAACGAACCACCAACGGATTGTGAGAAAACTTCATTGCGTGTTGCTATTTCTGTCCATGATCCCTTTGTGATTTTTTTTCCCCAAAGGGCGTTGACTTTGAGACATTGCTCAAGTTGTTGAGGTCACCAGCTAAGGTAATTCATAACGATTTTATTCTGTTCATTTCACACTCTCTGGATTTTTCGAACTTGTGTTTGTTTTTGGACAATTTACGGGTGACACTGTGCCAACTGAGCTCGGCCCGTCGGTTTATTTGTCTTTCCCACCCTCGTCGCCGTCGCATTTGCCTGTCATATGCATGCTCTACTTTCGGCCAGCATATCATTCTATCTTAGATTTTCAGTTGTAATGCCTTTTTATCGTTGTGGTTGCCATTTTTGCAGTGGCATAGGTATTTGGCGAGTTCTGCACACCACGACAGTACAACTTGAAAGTTACATCATGACTCTCTTTCTGTCACCGTGTAATGTCGTTCAAAGCAACATTGTGGTTAATCTTCAAATTGATGAGAACGAATTTACATGTATGTTGTGTTTTCTTCTTCTTGACGATAATATGTCACAACATGTGTATCACTTTTATGGTATCCTGTCAAACAACCGTTGTGACATTATTGATATTATCATTCTATGTTTTTGGGAAGCGGTTCTGTACAATTATCCTCCATGTCAAACTCTCCCAGAAGTGGGTGACCGTATTAGTCTACGGCAAACAACCGATCACGCACTGTTGTCGATCCAGACGACCATGTTTCATTGCTGACATATATATACAAGCTTCATTCAAACACGGAGTTTTGTCTAAAAATTTGTGCTGCCCATATAAAAAGTTGGATAGCGATTGACAAGCTATAGGGCCATTGCTTCTTTAGGGATTCAATATGCTTTGTATATACCTTGTCTGCTGTTCCGAAAATGATGGCGATTAGCTGGACCCATATGTAAGTCCATAAAGCAAAAAAATAAAAAAGGTTGTGTGTCCGCATTCCAAAAAAGGAATGGACCTCGTTTCTATGTTATGGATCATTTTTTCCGTACGGCAGAGTGGAAAATAATGTCTGGAATGTTGTGACAGGGTTGACGGAAGGGTATCTTTTAGATGAGGGGCCAAGGTGTGAGTGATAGGACGATAACCAATCAACCCCTGTATCATTGTCTGCGGGAAGACGTGGAAAAGGTGCAGAGTCTGTCTCGGGGCAGGAATAAGAGGGGGAGTTATGTGGAGATAGAGTGCGGATGGTAAAAACGTTGACATAGGTTAAATAGGTGGTGCGTGATAAACAGGTACTTCGCTAGAGACTCTAGGAGTATCCTTTTCTAAACAGGCTTGAATGGGGAGTGTTTGGTAAACCGGGGCTGGACAAGGGATTGCAGGGCTGATTTTGATGCCTGGTAAGAGGTTGTAATACGATTGTTTGTATCCTTTTCTTTTCATTTTATCTGTATGTTTCCCGGATGACCACATTGCAGTCTGCATTGGTGCGACTATATTAATGGTCCTTGGGCTTGTGTACATGTTCGTCTTTTGTGTCACGGGGTGTTGTTTTGATGGATGAATATTTGTTTGTGCAGGTAGCATGAATGATCTGAAGCTACACGTATTCGCCCACGACTGCTTGACCAGCTACGTGCTTCGGCTGAACGCAAAGCTTTTATCCCTCGATTCATGTATACTACTGCCAAAGAGTTGGGCGAATATGTTGACATACCAAATCTCATCACCACCATCATCATCATCATCATCATCATCATCAGTTTGTCATCATTAGATGTTTGCTCTTTAAGGCATTGTTTGTCGTTCACTTCAGCAGCTTCAGGTTCATCATTAGTACATAACAATGACAAAATATCATTTCGGGTACTGCCATACACGGTAGTCAATATTGCATGAACAACTTCGACAACTTCAGGTTCATCTAGATTTGCTAGGTAGATATCCAGCATACGTTTTCCATTATATTATTGTGTCAGGCAGTGCACCACATAACCTTTTTGAGCCACATTCGGATCTCGGCGGCGGCACGCTTCTGACGACACGAGGAACATACATGTACGCGTTGGAAGCAGTGGAGATGGCGTGTCACGATCACGTTCGTCCTCCCGCTTTTGGGAACGTGGATTTCCATCCCCGGTTGCGCTGAGCACTGTCGTCTTCACTGCTGGCCCGCGTCGCGCTCTGGTGTCTTCTGCACTCCGCGACGGGCGACGGGGGGGGTTGGACATGCGGATCCTCGCTGTTGATTCGTGGTCTGCGGTCTTCTGCAGTTCGCGACGGGTGGATCCTCGGTAACGTTTACGGTGATGGCGTCGGAGGGGATGGACATGCGTCATGCGCTATCGAAGGCGGAGAGGACTGCGGTGGCAGCGACCGTGAGCGCCGTCCTCTTCCGGTGCCAGTTGGAGAGGGGCGAGGGGAGGATGAGAGCGGCCATTCGCGCGTGGCGGAAACGGACGCTGCAGTCGCCGTCTGTGGGGGGCGACGACAGCGTTGCCATTTGCGACGCCGTGCTGCAGGTGTGCTACGCCATGTGGTGTGGAGCGTTCCCCAAAGCGACGCCCGGATGGTGGATGAAGCGACGTACAGGCGGCACGTGGGAGGATCTCCGGCTATGCGACGACGCGATGCGCATTACTTCAGGGAGAAGCTACGAATGTCGCCACGTGTATTCCGAGAGATAACGGAAGCTCTGTCTCCCTTCCTTGAGCGACGTATCACTTGCTACAGGGAGCCCCTCCAGCCAGACCAGATTGTCGCCTACGCTTTGTACAGGTGGGCGTCGGGGGAGACATACGAGAGCGGGACATGCAACTTTGGCATTGGCAGATCTTCCGGGTTGGTGGCGGTGCGAGATGTGACTGCGGCATTGCTCAGTGCGTTCCTTGACAAGATCTCGTGGCCGACGGGTCTGCAGAAGGCGGTTGTCTTGCGCGCTTTCGCTGACAAGGGTTTCCCCAACTGCCATGGGTGCAGCGACTGCACCCATATCTTCATCGACAAGCCTGCGAATTGCCCCGGGGAGGACTACTACGATAGGAAACGACGTTTCTCCGTGCAGGCACAAGTCATCGTGGATTTGAACTTGCGCTTGCTGGATGTGTTCATCAGTTACCCGGGAAGTTGCCATGACGTCAGGATCGTCCATCTGTTCAGTTTATGGGCATGCGCGGAGGCGGAAGAGCTTTTCACCGGCCCACCTGTCATGCTGCCTTTCGGTGTGCGGACGGACGGATATCTGCTGGGGGACAACGGGTACCCGCCCTCCGAATGGGTTGTCGTCCCTTACGGCGGTGTATCCCAAAACCCTGTGGAGATGCACTTCGATAACAAGCAGAAGACGGCAAGGGGCGCAGTGGAGAGGGTTTTTGGCAGACTGAAGGGGATGTGGATGTTGTTCTTCGATCCCACAAGACAAACATGGAGACGTTGCCGCAGCAGTTCGTCGCCGTCTGCATTCTCCACAACATACTCATCGACGCGGGCATCTCGTTCGACGACAATCTGCTCTGGGAGGTCGGGCCGGATGGTGTTCGTCGCAGGGTGGATCTTGGGATGGATCGTCCCGTGAGGCAGATGTGCATGGAGTCCTCCACAGGGGATGCCCTCATTCTACGTGACGCACTGGCTGAGCAAATGGCGGCACAGTGAAGACGGCGAGGCGAGCGGAGGGATCGGCCTTGATGGCGTGGCTGAGGTGATTAAATGCGGCCGTGTCCCGCGGGGTGGAAGGTAGAAATCGTGGCAGAAGACGCGGGGTGCTCCATGTCGTGCAACGAGTTGTCGTCGTGGTGTTTGTCGTCCATCGGTCGGATCTCGCGAGTAGTGTGGCGGTGGTGGGCGTCATAGTTTTGTTGTCCGAGCACGCGGCGGCGTGTGTCGGCAGTTTATTTCATTGTGTTAGGGTCCGAGCGCTATCGGGTGTGTGGCTGCACCGGGGGCAGAATGCGTTTGCGAAGTCGAAGACGTAGGCGAGGACGGGCGATGTGAGAAGCGCCCACGTGCAAACAAGTGGTTGTTGTGTAGTGCGCTGTCGCTACGGCGACGTGTGAGAGTGACAGAATTATCGTGTCGATCGCTGGTTTTATTGTTGTGTTTTGGTTGATCTTGTCACTAAAATTGATTAACTTGAATGACCCGTTTCGTTTTTCACGCTCTGTGTCCACAGAGTCCGACGTGTTGTTTTGTTGTTTTGTGTTTTTTTTTTTTTTTTTTTTCCTTC